AAAAAAAAAAAAAAAAAAAAAAGCTCACTTTACTTTAGACTGCACTGCACGTGGGTCACTTCCCAAAGCCCCGAGGACCAGGCACCTTCTGGTTTGCATGAAGCCCAATGTTGGAATCTCTCTTTGGCCTTGTGCGATGCCTGTTTTGGGAGTCTGTTTGCTTTTGAAGACCCACGATGCGTTTTCAACGTGGACACAGGTAGAACCCCCCCATGGAGAGACCCACTGAGGGAGGAGGTGCACTGCCTAGGGGAGAAGGTCCAGGACATCAAGCAGGGTGGGGTGACATTTATTCTCTGCCTTTTAGCATCTACGTCCCTTGGAGCAAGGCCTTTTTTCCCAAGCCTTAGTATCCATTGAAGCAAAATGGAAATAAAAATATTAATGTTCTCCATATTCCTACCAATTCAAGAGCTAAACAGATAGCATTTTATAAATATTGTCTAAAATGAACATCAACAATTTCTCCAAGTGATTGCTTCATCTTCAGCTGCACCCTCTGGCCTCCGGAGCTGGGGTTTGCCCTGGAAGAACTTTCTGGATAACCTTCTGCATTTCTGCTACTGGTACTTTCTTCCTAAGGCCTCCTGTGAAACTCTCTACCTCTAGAACCTCTGACCTCACACAGGGCCAACTTCCACAAGGGGAATTTGGAGGACTGGAGGGTTCCGACATCTTCCCAGGAAGCCACAGAGCTGAACTGAAGGAGTACAGTTGTGCATCCGGAATGTAGGGTTGGGATGTAACACATTCTCCTCGAGGCTGGACATTTGGGTGCCTGTTAGAGATACATATGTTTTCTCCTGGCACCTTTGAAGCAATGCAAGCAGGTAACAGCCACACCTGGAGGAACACACAGAGGAAGACGTTCAGAGGAGGGTTTGGGGTGAAATGCCAGGCACACTTAACCTCCTACCTCCGATGAGCTGTGGGCTCCTCTCTCTGGAGGACAGAGACCATGGTGCTCATGGACCAGGGAGGAGAATTCTCTACTAGTTGAGCACAGTTCAGTGTGAGATGGCCCTTCTGATAGAGAAAGACTTTGATGCCTTGCCCAGGAAAATAACACGAGGCAAGGCAGTAACAGAAGATCCCAGTGGACTATTTTTCCCCTGCCTGGCCCCAGGGGGTTCTGAATCTTTTAGGATTATTGAAACAGTGATTTTGTGCCAAGCACAGCCTTTTCTTTTTCTTTACATATTTAAAATCTTGGCAATGGATCACTGTAGCTGAGAATTTCACCTTTTTCTAGTTTTATCTAGTTTATTTTCAGGACCTGTGTGTGAGTTAGGCAGATTAACAGCTCAGCTAAACAGTATGAAAACAATTTAACTTTTATGTCCATGTTTCTACACAATCTGCAGCACATTATCTACCTATCAATCAATTTATGGATCAATCTATGGATAGGTCTATCTATCTAATCTGTCTTATTTTTCTATATCCAAATCTGTGCTGTATATCAATACATTTTAGATAGCTATGCGTCTGTACCTTTTCTGTATCTCTTTCCCACATTCCCATTTATCTCTTATCAACTGTCTTCTTTATCTACATTCATACATATGTATATTCCATATCTGTGACTATACATTCTCTGTGTCTGTTCTATACCTACATGCATTTTCTACATTTATCTTAATATCTATATCTACCTTAATTCTATGCTACATCTGTATCTAAATCAACATTGGTCCATCTCTTTAAGTTTCTTTGGCTTTCCTGTTTATATGTACTATTATGGTTTCTTAATGGTGAATAGGGACAAAATACTTTTTGGAACCAAAATAAATATCTTTTCAAAGATTTTTGGCAGTGAAACTAGTAACTGTGCAGTTTCACGACTTTAAAAATTAGCTTCTGAACATGTCTTTCACCTCTGAGAAAGTAACCTTGATTGTCAAGGTAATTGATGCTGAAGAAGTAAAAACGAGTCTAAGAATTCCTCTTGCAAAAAGGCCTTACCTTTAATGCCACTAGGCTGACAAGTGTACTTTAATGATTGGGATATTAGAGTTTAAAGCCACATCCTTTGCAGAAGTTCCCTGGCATCACCTGCCTCCCGAGGCAAGAGAAGATGAACCTACAAAGAAATATCCAAGACCACTTAAGTGCCTGTTAGAGATACACATTGGCCACTTCTCCAATGTGCCAACCCACCCACTTTTCTTTCTATCTCAGATCTACTCCTATCTACCTTTCTATGACCCTAGCTGTACACATATTCCCATAATCTACTCTCTACTGTGTGGCAAAGAGGTTAATTTAAAGCATAAATCAAATCATATAATTCTCATGCTCCAAACTTCCTTGTAGCTTTCCATTCTGCTTAGAATGAAAAAATCCACCTACATAGAATGATCTGGAGAGTGGATGAGCTCTGACCATTGGCTGATCCTGCTGGCAAAAGCCAAGCCTGGAAAACACTCGGTGCCAAAAGGCGAAGGTGGTATCAGCCTTGACTCAGGGCTCTGACACCAACAGGTATCAGAGGTTCTAGGATAATGGGCTTCCTGGGTGCAGCAGTGTATATAATGATAGAATTTATTGTTATGTATTCATTCATGCACACAGGAGTAGCCCTAATAAAAACATAATTTGGACAATATCACTCCCTGGCACTTACCCCTTCCTGCCTGCCTTCTACCGCTTGGTCTCTTTCCTTTATTGATCTCCTTTTGATTTTCATGAAATTTCCCCCAAAAGCCTTGTACAATTTATAGTGCCCCTCCAGTTTAACTTCCTGATTGTGAGACCCTATATATCAAACTCGCAGAGCTAGTTCTGAGTCACTGTTCCCCCCTAGGGTACAGAGTCCCACCTGGCCTCAGCTTTCTTTGAAAATGTCTCTGTGTTGTTCTCCATTTCTCAGGGCCCACACTCGAGATCCTTTGTTGACACTGAGCAGGTTGAGGTCCCCATAGTTGAGGTCCTGTGGCCAAAGCCCTGCTTCTACTTCTCATTTTCTACTCTTCTCCTTCACTCGCAGGCCAGGCCCAGACCTTCCCTCTGCCCACTCAGCAGAAGACTTGTAGTCTACATCAGACAAGACCTCCTGGGGCATTCGGGCAAAGGCCATCCAGCCACTGAACAGTGACGGGAAGGTCCCCAGGGGCAGGGCCTTTTGGACCTTTCTGTCATTTCCCCACCCTCTGCTTCCCATTTGCCATCCTCTGGATAGTTTTTCTGCCTGCAATTCACCTTACCACACAGTTCACCTCACAAGTTACAGCACACATTCCCAGAGGCTTGTCTTGCTGTGTTTTGCACCAGGGCCTGACTTGGAAGGCTGCCTGAGACACACCCAGTGCTCACCCCAGTGGGGAATGGGGACTCTGAGCTCACGCTCACCAAGCTCCACCTGCTGCCCAGCTCAGCATGAGGTCCTAGTCCCACCTTGGGTCCCAGTCCCTCCCCAGAAGTAGCCCTAATCTGTTGAGCATGTGGTAGGCACCTTGATGACCACCCTTAGCTTGCAGATAGGACTTGACTGGATGTGACATCTAATTCTCTCACTGGCTTCACTTTAGGCAAGAGGCTCACTTCTCTGTAGGTCTCTTCATCTACAAACAAAGAGACCATGATAGCCCTCCCCTCCTACTGTTGCTGTGAGGGTTAAAGGCACTGATGTGGACTTAGGAAATTGTTTCATGGATCATTAGGGTTTGGTAGGCATTAGTTTTAAAATTACAATTACATGATCACAATTCTTTAAATCATCAGTTTAAATTGTAGATTTTTTTTTTCTCATCTATCAGGGCAGAGAGCATTGGTGTGCAGGGATAACATTTCATGTATTTTAGAATACTTCCACTCGAGTTTTTATGCATTTGGCAATGGCAGCATATGTTACATACACAATTTCATTTCCATATTCTACACAAAGGAGGAAAATGATTTCTGGTCAATATTACTCTTTGAAACCTTTAAACTCAACCATATATTCTACAGTTTGCATGAATTTGTAAATAGAATGCATTAAAGTCAAAGCTGTGCCCCTCCAAGAGTTGAAAGTTACTGAGTTAAAACAAAATAGGAACAAAACAGAAAGCCCTTGGGCATTGAAACTATGCCTCCACTAAGGAGCTACCCAGTCCTAGGCCATGAGTCAGGCAAGATGGAAGTTTCCAAGTCTCCCACAGCTCATCTTAGCTCTGGTCCAAGCTGGTCTCATAGGGAGGATTAAACAGACCCTGGGGTGCAGGTTGAAGAACTGAAATTTATAGTGGGTGCTTCAACGAGCCTTTCGAGTTACACATGTGAAGCCAGATGTCAAAAATCATCAAAAATCCCCATGTTCCAACTCTGAGAAAAGTGATTCAATAATGATGAAAGCCATTGATCCTTTTGCAGAAAGCAGAAGGGTTGAGAGATGTGGGCAAGAAAAAATCTTCTTTGGAGAAAGCCTGGATCATGGAGCTGAAGGACGGGGAGTCTAGTGAGGACACGGTGTCTGTGCCCACCCCCTGCCTAGTAAGGAGGAGTTCTTGGCTACAAGGAAGAGATCTTGAAAGCAGTGAGCTCCGTGGAGTGGGTCTGAATCTTGCCAGAAGGCCTGTGAGGCTTGAAGGTGTTTCCCTGCTGGATGACAGAGATGGGGAGGCTTCTGCGCCAGGAACAGCCCCCACAAGGCGTCCTGACAAAGGAGATGCATAAAGACGAGGCTCTGCTATTTTAAAGCTGATGTGAAAAATGAATCGCCAATATAATGGAATTTTGGAATGTGTGAGCTCCCAGCTCACCCTCTGCAAGTACTCCGGCTTGTCCTTACCTCCCCAAACTTCTATCCGAGGGAGCCGAGTCCTGGTTTGTATTTGTTTCTGTAAATTGGGTTTTAAGTTCAACTTTCCCTGATGTGGGAGTAGTCAACAAGGGTTTGGAGGAAGGGATTTCCTAGATGTGGCTGTTTTTTTTGGTACTGAGGCTTGAACCCAGGTATGCTTAACCACTGAGCCACATCCCCAGTCCTTTTAATATTTTATTTAGAGACAGATTCTCTCTGAATTGCTTAGGGCCTCACTGAATTGCTGAGGCTGGCTTTGAACTCACGATCCTCCTGCCTCAACCTCCCCAGCCGCTGGGATTTGAGGTGTGCACCACTGCACCTGCTATGTGGCTGTTTCCCTCAGTGCACTCATGATGGTAATAATAGCTGATGTTCGTGGAGCATATTTTCATACCAACAAGCCTTTGTTTCAGCAATTTGTGGGTGGTCTGCATATAAGTTAAAAATTAACTTCCAAACATTTATGCACACATAAAGACTAAAGTGTGGGGGGGAAAAAATAAACAATTACTGATTAGAAAGAAGCCTGGTACCATCCCCTGAAGAGAACACTGGAAGAAAAAAGAAAAATAAGATAGAGAAAGAGAGAGAGAGAGAGAGAGAGAGAGAGAGAGAGAGAGAGAGAGAGAGAGAAAGGTGACTCAAAGAAGCTTCCTTAATAATCAGAAGCTAACCTCTGGAATCCATTAGTTTTAGAGTGAATTGTTTATATTTGGGGTTGGTCTTTTTTTTTTTTTCTAACTTAAGATGTTTAATTTTCATGCTGGTAACACAAGGGAGAAATCTCCGAGGAGCAGCCAGGCAGCCCTGTGGATGTTGTGAGAGCTTTCTTTGGCATCTGGTTTCTAAAATAGATGAGGATCAAAGACAACATTTAGGGATCATCTGCTCAGCCGTGGAAAGAGAAAACGACCCTGATGTCCTCCCAGAGAAGCAGCCTCGTCTGTGGGGCAGGGTCTGGGCTGTGTAAGAAATTTATTCAAAATCCCTCTTGTTTCCTTCAATAAATCCTCGGTAAAACGTGGCTTCTCTTGCCTCTCGAAGCTGTGTGTTCTTTCTGTTCTAATGTTACTGAAGCTTTTCCACAACCTTCAGTTCTTCCTCCCCACATGGGACTCTATCATGAACGAGGAAAGGGAATTTGCTTGGTCCCATTCCAACAGTGTGGGATGGGGACCAGTCCAGGAGCCTTTCCATAGACCAAGAGCTTGGGGGAGGCAGAGGGGGTAGGCCCTCGGTGGTCTGGGGAGGAAGCTCTTGCTTTGTGTTTCATCCTCCTGTGTTTGGAGGCCCACTGCCATGGTGGTCAGTATCTTGAGTCTGGATTTGCATTCCATGCTGAACGGATCACGCCTGTCTGCTCTTAGTGTGTAGCTCAGCAGGGAGAAGACAGGCATCTTTCTGCAGATCCCAGCTTGTCATCTAGGTCCTCTGCCTGGGGACTCATCAGGACTCCTCCATGAGCTGCTCACCTTTCTATGAAAAGACTTCCCAGTGATGGGATCCAAACTGCCCAGTGGGCAGCCTCCACCTGAGCCTCTTCTCCTCCACTGGTAAGCACAGTGGGGGCATCTGCCTGCATCTTCTCACCAATCCAAGTTCCTTGGAAACAGGTTTCTGAAAGTCCCACACAAATGGTTCTCAGTGGAAAGGAGGAGATTGTTGATGGATATGACCAGAACATCCAAGAGTGCAGTCAGCTCTGTAACTGGACTTGGGGATTCACGTGGGAAGAGTCCCTCCCTTATGCCAAAGCACCCTCAAAGCAATGCAGCATGGGCACAAGGACTCATAAAACCACTTGTCAAATCTGTCTTGCAGCATCTTTCAAAGCCATGGTTTCCATAAGTTTCAGGCAAAGTCCCCACTGGAGAGGAATGAGATAACAATGTCCACATGTGTCCACCATGCTCTCTCCCACATGACCTTGCCCCTCCACTCCTCCATAGGTCACTGTCAAGGAGAGAGACTGGTTCCATTTTTCCTGACTGATTCTTCACACTTTCTTATCCATTGAGTCTCCTCTGCTCTATTTCCTAAATTCATCAAGACCTTGAGGCACTCCTGGAAGGAAGCTGGTGCTTGGGACAAGAACACAAGTTGCGGTGTGGAGAAGAAGACATGTCTGGGTACAGAGAGTGGACATTCACAGGTGTGGACATCCCTAACTAAGCAGCTCAAACTGGTTCCTGTACATCTGTGACTAGCTCTTATTTCTGAGGCTCTGCTGTGGATGGTCATAAAGGAGATGTCATTAAATGAAAGAGTCCTGTGTCCCCAGAGCTATTTCCATCCTTTCTCTTCAGATAACCCAAAAAGCTTAGTGACATCTTCCCTGACAGTTGCTGTGGCACTGCTGCTCCAACATAGGCCTCAGTTTAGTCTCCTGTTGGACTTCCAGCTCAGCAGATAGGAGATAGGTGCTGTCCTGGGCGGGGAGATGGAAACCCTCACACCTTTCTGGTGAGTATGTAACCTGGGGCAGTGGCTATCAAAAAATGGCTTAGCAGTTTCTTAGTAGGTTAAGCATCAGATTGTCACATGACCGAGCAATTTCCCTAAAGAGAAAGCAAGTGCCCATCAACCTTGCAGCTGACTGCCCCAGTCTGAGGGGCAGTGTGCTGCTGGCCCTGTGGTCTCTGCTGATGGCCGACTTACTTCCCCTCACTCCACCCGCCTTCTCAGGGCTGGGCTACCGCCCGCTGCTTGCTGCCTATTGAATGACAGGAGGCGGTTGTTCTCTGAAATCTGTAGGGTACGTTTTGTTGGTGGAGGAAACCAGCCCCCAGTACAGATCAGGCGAGTCCAATGTCCTGCACCACCTAGGGCAGCTGGGCACCACACCACCTTCCCCACTCAACATGGAGCATCTCCACCTGGCAGTCTCTGGGGGAACGATTTTGCACTTGTGCTTTGGAGCTAGTCTCACAAACATGATGGAGTCTGAGTGCAGTTTTTCTTTTTCTTTCTTTCTTTCTTTCTTTCTTTCTTTCTTTCTTTCTTTCTTTCTTTCTTTCTTTCTTTCTTTCTTTCTTTCTTTCTTTCT